ACACTTGTCCCTGTCTGAAATAACCCTTTTAACAGATAGTCTGACAGCTGCTGGAGAAACAGATTTATTCATAAGACATGAGACCGATTATTTTAACAAACATGCCAAAAACTGTCTTCAAGGGAAAGCGGGGAAAGGCTGGAGTCAGAGGGCTGAGGGGAGACAGAGGACCAAAGGTGGGACGTCTGTAAACACAGCTACATTTGTTGTGCTCTTTTTGTTTCAACTTGCGCTGAGACCGTTTGTGTATCACCGTTTAGGGAGAAAAGGAGAGATGGGCCAGAAGGCCTCCTTGGATGGTCAGGGATCATTGTAAGGAACACCTATGGGAATGCTATCTGCTGTTCTGTTATGAAGAGAAATCTGTACAATAATTAATAACTGAGTCAAATTAGAGATTTGAATTCAAGAATTTTTGTCACCAAGGGACCTCCTGGACTACGTGGAGATCTGGGTGATGGAGGTGGAAAGGAGAGCAGGTGACCTCAAATGACCGTGTTTGCTTGTAGTTGGATCCTGGTGGAGCTCTAACGGGGGTCGTTGTGTGTTTAGGGGGAGAAAGGAGACATGGGACTGCCCGGACCAGCTGGACAGGATGGCCCAAAGGTAGATGTTGCTGTTATTATAGGAGACATATTTAGATAAATGTGACCTTTTCTTTTCGTGTGTGTATTTATAAATCTGAATTCCTCCTCATTCCAAATCGAAACCGTGTCTGAGCAGGTTCTTCTGGTTTTCTAGAAGATAAAATTTTATAATGTTTTGTCATATTGGGATTTTCTTCTTCAGGGGATGCCTGGTGAAGTTGGATTCCCCGGTCCAGCAGGACAAAAGGGAGAACAGGTACAAAAAAAATCAAGTTGTTTTTATTCACTATTGCAGAGGTTCGGGGGCCGGCCACGGGCTGCCTACCATACCATACCAACCTTATTTATAAAGCACGTTTAAAAACGGCATGGCAGCCGACCAAAGTGCTGTACAGAATAAAAAGTAAAAACAATATAAAACAAAACACGGTAAAACAATAAAATACACAACAAGGCAGATAATCACGGTCAATAAAAGACACACAGTAAAATATAAAAGTCAGGGATTTAAAAATGCTGGTCGTAAAAGTGAGCCTTAAGTGGCGACTTGAACCAGAGGAGGGATGGTGCCAGCCTCACTGAAAGAGGAAGAGCATTCCAGAGTGTCGGAGCAGCGTAGACAAATGCACGCTGCCCCCCGCGTTTTGTATTTCATTGTTGGAACGCGAAGCAGCAGGCAATCGGCAGATCTCAACGCCCGGTTTGCACATACCTAGTGACAAGATCCGACAGGTAATCCGGAGCCAGACCGTTCAGGGCCTTAAAAACAAAAGTCAGGATTTTAAACTTGACTCTGAAGTTTACGGGTAGCCAGTGGAGCCGCGCCAGTACAGGTGTGATACGGTCTCTTCTAGGGGTGTTTGTTAAAAACCTGGCTGCCGCGTTTTGTACGACCTGAAGCCTGTTAAGAGCGGAGGCAGGTAAGCCAATTAAAATGGAATTTGCGTAATCTTGTCGGGAGATGATAAAAGCATGGATTACGGATTCCAGGTGTGCTCGTTTCAGGATCGGTTTTAAGCGAACTTCTGATAAAAACACGATCTGACCACTGCGTTCATCTAAGGGCCCATGGAAAAGTGGGTATCCAGTTTCACCCCCAGCTTGGTAACACACTGCTTGAGGTCATATGGGAGAGTGTCCAAATCAGAGGATAAGTGTGTGGTTTTGTTAGGGGTCATCAGGAGTGCCTCAGACTTAGAATCGTTCAGCCTAAGGAAATTATTGGCAAGCCAAACCCTCACTTCAGCAGAACATTGGTCCAGAAGAGAGAGGGGGAGCCTGGTTTGTTCAAAGCCAGGTAGATCTGGCAATCATCTGCATAAATATGGTAGCCCAGGCCATATTTCCTCAGGATGAAACCCAGGGCAACAGAAAAAGTCAAATTAAAAGAATTTAAAAGCCCATCCACATGCCTATTGAGGACCACTGCACTATTGTCTCTTGAATTGTGTCTGGACTTGACCTTCTCATCCTCGGAGTCTGCTCAGTGGCAGGAAGCTTGTACGAACAAGAAAAGCTGAAATGTCTTTTGTTTTATTCATTTTGTGTGTTTTTTTTATGTTGTTGTTTAGGGAAACATCGGCCCCCCTGGACCAAGAGGTGCATTAGGGATGCCCGGACTGCCTGTAAGTGATCCCTCGGAGTTCTGGTTGGAATCACTGCTGGAAATTTGTCAGCACAATCTGATTTGTGTGAATTAGCATAAAAATTTGAATCATGTTTTCACCTTTTGATTTAACAAGTTCTTTCCCTGCAAAGCAAGTTGTGTGATTGCAGTTAGCAGCTTATGCCGCTAGATGTCTCCACATGCAACATTTGATGAATGTCACAGAATAAGTTTATTATTGTCCTTCCACCTGCTTTAACTGTGTCTTCATGGGTAAATATGTGGTAAATTAATATTGGTTGGGTGTATTTAATAACTTTAAACAGGCAGAACAAAAAAATAACTTGTTATAGAAGCAGGCTCGGCGCTCGGCCCACGCACATCAAGCACAACGCGTAGGGCACCAAAGGGTGCACCAACCAATCAGGCCCCCATCTCCAAAAATCACGGGTGGGCCACAAATTAAAATTTTGCTTAGGGCACTCGAGTGGCATGCGTCGGGCCTGTATAGAAGCATTACTGTTTGCACAAATGTCTGCATGACTGTGGTTGCACAAAAGGTCAGCTAAACAAAACCATCCAGATGTAAACTTCTTTGTTTTTTCTGTTTTGTTGCAGGGTTTGTTTGGAATAAAGGTGAGATTTCATCAACCCAGTCATGTGCAATACTCTTCAGACTGCTACTATCTGAACAATACTTAATGCAAATGGAGAATGTCCAGCAACTACATTAAAGTTCAGTTTGTATCAGTTTTCTGCAGAACAACAACTTCATCATATTTGATTCTCCGTACAGGGGCATAAAGGCTACCAAGGCCTTCCTGGACTGCCTGGAAGACGAGGGCTTCCGGTGAGTCTGCAAAGGAAAACAGAAACTCAGAAGTTTAATTAGGAGCTTTAAATTGTTTAGCTTAAATTTCAGGAAGATCTACAGGTCATAGATCCTAAACGGATTCACTTGAGCTGCAGGAATGTCTCAGGAACACCCACAGAAGGCGGCATGGTTCATGGGCTACTATTGAGATCTGAATTAATGAATCAAGTTATCATTATTATTACGGTTGTATAATAAAAAAGTACTTGAGAATATATATATATATATATATATATATATTTATATATATATATATATATATATATATATATGTATATATATTATTATTACGGTTGTATAATAAAAAAGTACTTGAGAATATATATATATATATATATATATATATATATATATATACATATACATATATATATATATATATATATATATATATATAATATACATATATATATACATATATATATATATATACATATATACATACATATATATGTATATATATATTCTCAAGTACTTTTTTATTATGCAACTGTAATAATAATATATATACATACATATATATATATATATATATACATATATATATGTATATACATATATATAATATACTGTATATGTATATACATATATATATGTATATACATATATATAATATACTGTATATTTGGCTGTATTACCATGTGACGTTGTGATAAGGTTTGGATTTTGTGTTCTAGGGTCCACCTGGTCTTCCTGGTCCTCCGGGACTCTCTCTGAACTTCACTTTGACTCAGCTAAAGGCCAGTCATCTTTATACCTAATTTCGTAATTTCATTCTTTGTGAATATTGATCCAACCTTAGCAGAAAACATCCCTGTATCGTTGCCATTACATAAATCTTTTCGGAATACCATCCATACCAACCTGAACTCCATGTTTCCAGTAGAGGAAAAAGAAATATTACAATTTCTAAAAACAAGTAAATAAAACTGTTAACACGTTTTACTTCCTGTTTCACTTTGAAAATAATTATATGATTCTGAAGGAGCAAGTTTGCTGAATAACCAATTTTTATATGTTTTTATTTTAAACAAGCTTTAGCACAAGTACATTACAACACTAATGATCAAATACAGTATGTCTTGGGGATATTCGTGGATCTAATAAAAGCTTTTGACAGTACATTACTCTGCAAATTAAAAAGTTATGGGATCAGGGGTGTGGTGTTTCATTGGCCATTTGTGCAGTTAGGTGAACATTCTTCCTCAAGGCTTGTGGAATCCCTCAGGGGTCAGTGTTGGGCCCTAAATTTATTTTGTTATATATTAACGATCTGAATAAGATGCCACATACATTGAGTTTTGTTTTATTTGCTGATAACACATTGTTAGTTCTGCAGACAATATCCATGAAATATTAGCTACAGCCCAATCCCAACTGTGCTTGATTAAGAAGTGGTTTGATGAAAATAAGTTCTCATTAAATATAGCAAACACAAAATGCATATTTTGGGCAAAAAGAGATATGAGGCTCTCAGGAGATGCAAAATTAAAAAGCCTTTATTAGTACATGAGTAAAATAGTTAAAAACATAAGTGCCGACGCGTTTCAGCCCACAGGGCCTTCGTCAGGGCTCAAAATGTTTGTAGGTCCTCTCACCTCCTTGTTAAGAAGGCCAATCAGTGACAGCTGCTGAAGTTGGCCAGGTAGACAGCATCATGATTGGATGACCAATATTGCACAATAAACACTCTTCTATATTCTAAACCAAACCTGGGCATTTTACGGCCCGCGGGCCACATACGGCCCTTTGGTTGACTTTGACGGCCCGCGTAAGGTTAATTGGAAATTACAGAATAAATGTATTTTCTCATTTTACCTCATGCATGGACTAAGGCTGCATTGCTTTTATTTTGAAGTTGTTTTTTACATACAGAATGACCCAATACGTATAGCAACAAGTGCCCGCGGTTGACACGGTGATTGTAGCCCCCAGAAATGTCCGCTCATGCAAAAAAAAAAAAAGAAAGAAAGATGCCGAATGCAGGATTTTCAACAAAAATCGGACTGCTAAGTATTTTTTTTACTGAAGTCGGAGGTAAAGCCGTGTGTTTGGTTTGCGGGGAGGAGATTGCCGTGTTTAAGGACTACAATTTGAGTCGGCATTACGACAAGAAACACTCGGAAAAATACAAGAACTTGTCTGATGCTGAGAGGGCACGGACATCCGAAGCTTTGCTAGCAAAGTTGCAAAAGCAGCAAGGCTGTTTTACTAAGCTTCACACATCCAGGGATGCAGCAACCAGGACCAGCTTTGTGATATCCCACAACATAGCTAAAAACAGCAAGCTGTTTTCGGAGGGAGAGTTTGTCAAAGAGTGCATGGTGTTAAGGGATGTTACCAAGAATCTCAGAGTCACGCCTTCTTTCAGATACTGAGGTTCTGACTTGTGGGTAAGAAAATATCTACGTGGCTCGCGTTTGACCTAACTTTACTTTGTCCTTGTGTCAGTGCAGATGATGATGGCCTTGTCATGTCAAACATTACTGATCCATATATAAATTTGTTTCGCAGATTAATCAAACATTTCATTTAGTGTTCATATAACATTTGTTCATCAACCAAATTATTCTTTAATGATTAATTAACCTATAAGTTTAAAATGTTCACATTATATTTAAGAGTTCATTCTTTGATTAAACAACTAATCCAAGCTGAGAGTGTTCACTTTATTCAGAGGCATGAAGAGTCCTGTAGAACGATAAGGGAAGCTTGGGCCAAGAGGAGGGAACATGAATGTTGACGATACGTTATCATGTGTTCAGAGCTGCAGAGAGGCTCTGAGCCAGCCGATGGGACACAGGGTCCGGCAGATTAAAGGAAACCCATGCAGACCTGTGTCTCCATGTCAACCAGATATTGAAGGGCCAAACTGTACTTAAAACTGACCATTACCAGGGGTGTGTCCAGGGGGTGGCCTGGGGTAGCACATGCCACCCTTGGAATCTGATTGGCCACCCCACTGAATTCCCATTAAATAGACTGGTCTACAAAAAGCTTGGGGTAAAAAAAATAAATAAAAAAGCATAACCATTGGTGCCACCAATGCATAAAGAAGTGCACTACCTGGGCCACCCCATTTTAAAAGATCTGGGCACGCCACTGACCATTACTGGACATTACAATGCAAAAAGTAGTTAAAGTTCTTATGTAACTTTTTTATAGAAGGCATTCAGAGTGTGATTACATTTATTGGGTATGAAAGTAATGGGGTTCTCCCGCCATCTTGTTGTATATGGTCTCGAGAAGCTGCCTGACTTGGATTAGTATGGTACCAGAGTTTGTCTGAAAAGCTTTAGCCGTGTTCTTAGGAGCAAACGTGAGACCTTCTGATAAAACAGAGATGTGAAAGGTTGAAAGAGGAACCCCTGAAATGTTGGATCTTCATCTTGATCTGTTCTTAAATAAGAAAGGGAGGTGAACTTTATAAGCGAGAGCTTCATCCCACTCCCTTTGAACATGTTCTGAAAAGCTATTGTTATTGTTTATTTTCTTTATTTCGCTGCTCTGACCTCACTACAAACGCTAGTTTTAGGAGGCATCAGTCAGTCTCTGCAGGAAGTCCTTGTGAATAATAGCAGACACATTTAGCCTTAGTCGTGGTCTTTCTCCTCCCGTGTTCAGGACCTGATGTACATGTCCGACAAGCCCAACCTCGCTCTGGTCCAGTCGCTGCTGGAGTCTCTGCAGCAGGAGCTCCGGCTGCTGTTGGATCCTCCCGATGGAAGCAAGGAGCATCCGGCCACCACCTGCCTGGAGCTCTGGCTCTGCCACCCTGAATATAGAAGCGGTTGGAAACTTTAAACTAGAAGCTAAACTACACTGATATTTACATTATTTAAATCAGAGTCAGATTGGCTCAAATGTACATCTTAACTCATTTGCAACCATAAAAATAGATTTATTTTTTATACATTTTTAATCTTTTTTGGATAGTTTTGCTTCCTTTTCCTGCACTCAGACCTTTTCCATCTGGAGCTTTGACTCTGATCCCTGCCGACGTTGTCCTCTGCAGGAATGTATTACATCGACCCGAACCAGGGCAGCACCGCCGATGCTCTGCTGGCCTACTGCGTCTTCACCTCCTCATCGAAGCAGACCTGCCTTCATCCTCGGGACTACCAGGTATGAAGATGTCGCGGAGAAAAGCAGCACCTTCAGTAAATCTGCTCATCTGCTGTAGCCTCGACTTTGTCTCTTTAATGGTTTTATACGTCAGAATAAAGCTTCTCGATTTACCGGTCGATCTACGTCCCAATCCTCACCTATGGCCATGAGCTTTGGGTAATGACCGAAAGAACGAGATCGCGGATACAAGCGGCCGAAATGAGTTTCCTCCGTAGGGTGGCTGGGCTCCGCCTTACCCCTTCTTTCCACCGCAGCCGTCAGCAGCACGTTACTGCAGCAGCACGTCTTGCTCGCGTAAGCTGCTTCTTGGCCCCTCCCACGAGACGCGAAGCAGCAGGGGAGCAGCTGTCACCGACCGAGCACGAAGTCACACGAGTGACTTCGTCAGTAAACACAACAACAAGCAGGAGAAAACTACAACATGGTTTGTGTTTTATGTTCAGTCCGTTTTATAATCGCCAATACGGACCTGAAAAACAAAGGAGACCGCTAGCTAGGTGATAACTTCTCACGGGCCCGCACATTTAGTAACTTCTTTTAAAGTAAAGCAACCGGAAGGCAGTACGTTTCTTTATTCTGAAAATCTCGGGAAGCTTCGCCCCGTTTCCGTGTCCCATTTCCTGTCTTTCCTTCCCCAAAAATGTCGAACTTGACCCGTTTCAGAGGCGTCCCGCATAGAAAATAGAACCGGCACGTAAGGGCCGCGACATGCTGCTCCTGAGACGCGGCCGACTCGCGCTGCCGACGGCTCCGGTGGAAAAGGTTCTGTTGACCACAGCGGTTCCTATCAGCAGCTATGACGTGCTGCTGCAGTAACGTGCTGCTGACGGCTCCGGTGGAAAGAAGGGGTTAGAGATAGGGTGAGGAGCTCGGACAATCGGGAGGGACTCGGAGTAGAACCGCTGCTCCTCCGGATCGAAAGGAGTCAGTTGAGGTGGTTTGGGCATCTGGTCAGGATGCCTCCTGGACGCCTCCCTGGGGAGGTGTTTCGGGCGTGTCCTGCCGGCAGGAGGCCCCCGGGTCGACCCAGGACACGTTGGAGAGGTTACATCTCCAATCTGGTCCGGGAACGCATTGGGGTCCTGCCGGAGGAGCTGGTGGAGGTGGCCGGGGAGAGGACGGTCTGTAGCTCCCTAGTTGGGATGCTGCCCCCGCGACCCGGACCGGATAAGCGGAGGAAGACGACGACGACGAGAATAAAGCTTCAGTATTCAACTAAATATTAAAAAGCTCTGAGGAAGACAAGCAGCCTTTCCTGCAAAGGACACCAGTTTTTTCTGACTTTCTGCACTTTGTTGTAGGAAATCTACAAACATAATCATGAAGTGCTGTTAGCTTTACGTCGGATTTCTGTTTTATTTCTTAACCAGTAACTACAGGCGACGGGTCTGTTGTCTTTTCCTGCAGCTGCCTATGAAATCTTGGCTGGAAGAACCCTCTGAAGAAGGAAAGTTTCAGTGGCTCAGCAGGTTGGATCAAGGACATCAGGTTAGTAAAAACCTCTACAGCAAAACCAAAAAGACCCAAGTTCAGGGCCCGATAGACGTAGAAAAACCAGTTCATGTCACTTAAATGCTCAGGAAAGACTCTCTTCACCGGGAGTTGAGGACAAACACACTTTTAAGGAAAGCCAGATTAATAAAACTACCACAAAAACACAAGATTTTGTTTATTTAGTAATAAATACAAAATAATATTTATGTGAGGGCGCCCCAAGGCTGCGGAGCCCACAATGTAGCTTATCACCATTGGTTTGTGACTATAAAGTGTTTTTGAGTCCTCTGGTTCAGAAAAGCACCATACAAGGGCATCATTTGTTATAATACCACTAATGATAACTATTTATCTGTTAGTTTTCTTATCCAGATGCCAGTGTGGTCCAGATGCGGTTCCTGAGGTTACACAGTGTCACCGCTGTCCAGACGGTGACATATTCCTGTCATCCAGGACATCGACTGGGCCTGGAGGAGAGTGAGGTGAAATTCCTCACCGATACCGGGAAGCAAAGCTACCTGGGAGCGCTGAAAGATTGCCTGGTATGTCTGAAGGGAAGAACAGATACAATGATTATTATTTCTATGGCAAACACAACTGGAAAGGCTAGAAGAATCACTTGTTCTTGTGTGTACGAGACTCTTTATGAGCTACAGTGTGGAACAAATCGGTGTGCAGATTTTAAGCCAGTGAGCTGCATCATAGGAACTAGTTGGAGTCTCACATTTGGAAGAAAACTCTAATATTTTAACTTTTCTTGATGGGAATAAATCATAATCAGAAGGAAACTGTGAAAGTCCGTGTTTGTGAATGTCATGGCTATTTTCTTCTGTCAGAGTTTGTCCCCATTTTTTTCTCAGTTTTGTCACCATCTTTTCCCAAAGCTGTCTCACTTTCTTTTGTACCGGAGAAACTAAGTCATCTACAGTCAATTTCACTGTTTTGATAGGAAATATAAATCCAGCCATTATCTGAACCCGCTTGTCTATGCAGGGCCGCGGGGGGTGGGGGGGGCTGGTGCCCATCTCCAGCAGTCAGCATATAAATAAATAGCTTATAATCACACAACCATGCTCGTCTTCTGTACTCGACACTACGTCACGTTATCGGCTACGTCACGTTATCGGCCATGTTACCACTACCTGCCTTTTTTATAGCTGAATGTTTTATGCTAGTTTTATTATATTTTATTCTACTTATTCTATTTCTGAAATTTATTATTCATGTTATATGTGGCACATTATTACCGAAACAAGTTCCTAGTTTGTGAACTGCTTGTTCATTGACAATGGCAATAAACCTTTTCTGATTCTGATTCTGATTCTCATCCCAGCTGCTTCCCACTCGGCTGTGAACCGCTCCAGCGAAAGCTGAAGATCACGTTCTGATCTTCTGATTAGCTTGGCGTCATCAGTCTCTTCTACATCACAGGGAAAATTTGCATTCATGGCCCCGCCCACCTCTGCTCATAACCACCCACAGGAAGTAGAGAGCAGGGTGCATCTGGGCTAGTAGAAGCTAACCATTAGCAACTCAACAACATGCTTGAGCTTTTGGTATTTATGGAGATAAAAGATCAACTTTGCATTTTTTTTACCCATAAAAGTATGTTTTAGAGTCTTCTGAGTCACTTTAATGAAGACCGCAGAAGAGTCACGTTGCTTTTAGCCAGTTACACTTGAGATGTTTGCTTATCGTGATTATTAAGTAGTAAAACATGCAATCCTGTCGGTTTCTGCCCCACTACACCCCTGACAAACTTCTAATTCCTGAAAGAGGAGTACCAGACTGTTGTCTCCACAGAAAGGACTCAACACATTTATTCATGCTAGTGACCACAGGAAAGCCACTGGAAAGCAAGCGAATAACCAAGTTAAACGTCGACTCACCTCTTACATCAAGAAGAATCCGCGTGTTTCGAGCGTTTTCCGTTCTTTGATAATCCGTTGATGAATTGTGATCGGCAGAAGCTTTTCCAGTTCTCGTCTCACTTTTTTTACAGCAGCGGCCCAAAACGATCTCCTAACACATGGATGTTCTGCTTCCTGATCACGTGACGTGTGACGTACGCGGATGATCGGCTTTAGAGCTGGGATGTTTGTTCTCGCGGTGCGGGGGCTCGTCCGACGCCCACACAGTAAAAAAAATGCAAATGACGACTTTAGTCGTAACTGGCAGTGAATGAGTTCAGGACAATTTAGGCAGACCAATCAGCCTGACAGTCATGTTTGTGGACTGTGGGAGGAAGCCGGAGTACCTGGAGAGAACCCACGCATGCACAAGGAGAACATGCAAACTCCACGTGTAACTGGACTCAGCTGCACTGCTTCGTCCAGTCAAGAAACGTTCTGCGTTGTTTAAATGATGAGGGACTCAACATCATGTCCTTTAGTGCAACTTTCAAACAGTAAATTAGCAGGAGCTCCGTGAAAAACTCGCTTTCCTTCATTACAGCTCCAAACCTACTGGAGCGGGAGGAAGTGACGTCACAGAACGAGGGTATTCAAAATAAAAGACCCAAACAAACTTTTCTCAAAATGTCTAAAAACATATATTTAAAACGAGAATCTTGAAAGTAAAACAATTGTTTAGGGTAAGTAAAATAACAATATGTAAGTAAATAAAATAAATTTAGGGATTTTTGGCAGAATGAATTGCACATTCTTCTTTCTTTCCATGCTACACATGCAGAGAGACCCCAGGCTGGGATGTGAACCCAGGACCTTCTTGCTGCAAAGCAGCAGAGCTAGCCACTGTGCCACTGAGCATAATATATTGTGTAAAATTCCAGTAAGACAAGAGTGATGTCCTGAGACTTACTGAGGAAAATCAAAAACTATCATGAACATTTTCAGACCTTTGGAAAACTCAGTTGGGAATGTTTCGGGACATTTTGGAAACACTGTTGTAAATTTTTGAGACTACAGGAAATTTTTGGGAATACTGAATGCGGACAGCAGTAGCTCACGAGCCAGAGCCGGTTGTCTAGTGATCGGAAGGCTGCAGGTCCAATCCCGGCTCCAAACAGAGATTGCTGCTGTTGTGTTCTTGGGCAAGACACACTTGGCCTGCTGGCGGTGGTCGGAGTGACCGGTGGCCTCGGCAGCGCTGTCCAAGGACCTCGCCGCTGTCTGTGTCCTCCTGGACAGCTGTGGCTACAATGCAGCTCATCATCACCAGGGTGTGAATGACTAGTTGTGTTGTGAAGCACCTTGGGGCGTTGTAGGACCATAAGAAGGCAGTATACAAGTACGGGTCACTTACCATCTGTTTCCAGCAGGGTTAGGGTTAACCCTAACCCTAACCCCACTGCCCAGTCTGTTACTGGGACGATGTTATCTTGAAGATGTCTGTCTTTCTGCATGAATTACATTTCCTCCTACTTTTGCGCTAACAGATGAATGCATGTTATTTATTTTTCTGCTCGTCAGCCTGGAGAGGAGACGCCCTCTGGTCCTCGGGAGTCTGTGTTTGAGTTTGAAGACCTCCAGCTACTTCCTCTGAGAGACGTTGCGATAATGGGAGGAGGAAACTTCACACACCAGTTCAGCTTCACCTTTGGACCAGTGTGTTTCAGCTAGAGGTGTCGGGAAGCTGCGCTGTCCAAAGACTAACGCATCCAGGACTAAAACCTTCGTCTGAATCACGAACACCCACAGAACACACGGAGCAACAGATTTGAAAGATTTCCCTTTCTTTCTCTTCTGACGGGGGATTCCAGAGACTGAATTCGACAGAGAATTGTTGTTTTGCTATTTTTTTTGTTTACAGAGACATTCATCTTTTATGAAATAATTTAAATATGTATGTTTTATTCCACATATATGACATTTTTCACTGTTTGAGTGTTGCTGTTTATGTAAGTTGATCAGTAAGGCTGAATGATCTACCTTTTTAGACTGAAACTGCGATTTCAAACAACGCGATCACGTGATCGTCAAAGCTGCGGTGTTTGTAGCCCTCCTGACTGACCCAGGATCTTTTGCAACATGATGGTTTCCCCGCGTTACGGCACGTGGATGGGGGATAACGGAGCTGAGCCCAATCCCTCAGAACTGCACATTTTGGTTATTTTCCTGTTGTTTTTTCTTACAAAGCGCCGTTTCTACAGTTGATGTTAGAGCGTCTTTGGCCGTTTGTCTCTGTTGTGTTCATCTCAGCACCGTGGGCGAGCGAGGGACAGAGATTCATTCCCAAGCAGCAGAACTGGATTTATTATAACACTGAGTGCACTTGAAAGATTAACTTCTTTTATTTTTCTGATGGCACTCGCTAATTCAAACAAGCACGTTAAAGGTGCAGTATGTAACAAGTTAATGAGAATTTTACAGTGAGAAAATCCCAAAAGAGTCTAATGTTTCAGTCATTTTGGGAGGACGGTTCGACTGAAACATGTTTCTTATCCAACTAGCTGCTGGGTTGTCAGTTTTTCTCCTTTCAAAACAAAGGAAGGAGGGACGTAACCACTGATTACCATCAGTGAGGGTGGGGTTGCCAAGTCTCCCGCGGCCTAATACTGCAGCTCCCACGGTTGTAATTTGGCGACGATTGGCAAAAAGCTCCGGAGTTGTTTAAAGGAGCAGTTTGCGGTAACCAACTTTTACCGCAGGATGTCGTTTTTTCTTCATTTCGACATAATGCAGCTTTAAACGTGTCACAGTTTAGCGTTGGAGCGTGTTTTAGCGAGAAAAAAGACAAACAGCCCAGAAAAATGTCCAGACAGAACAAGAACACATATTTTCATGTAGCGCCCCTTTTGGTAAGACTCACAAGTCGCTTCGCAAGCACATAAAAAATAAGAAAGATAAAAATGGGAGAAAAAATTAACAGCTTTTAATTAGGGCTGGGCAATAAATCAAAAATGTATTGTTATCAAAATTTCTGACTCTGACCGATATCATTTTCCCCGTGTCGATAAATTCATTGATAGAAAAAGGAAAAGATGTACGTAGGTTGTCGACATTCTTGTCCCTTTAACAAGTTGTATCACCTTGAGTCACCCCAGCAAACATTCGGAGGTTTAATCTTTTGTTTTTGTTTTTTTTGTTCCCCCCCCCGTGTCCTGTCTGGCTGTGAAGCAAACAGAATTGATGTCTGAATGCTGTCGACAAGCCTTACAGATTTACTCTCAGGTGGAGCATTAAAGCGTCTGCTTTTAATGTCACGCCTGATACTTAAAACTTTATTGTTATTGTTGTTGAATGCTTTGTAATTCCGACCAGACACGGAGACAGAGGTGAAAGAGAAAGGAAAAGACGGGGGGGGGGGGGGGGGGGGTCCACAAAAACAAACAATCAATGATGAACAAGAGTCTGCTTCTAGTCCTGCAGAAGGAGAAAAACAAAGAAAAGAGACACACAACAATACAACAGGAGCAATCTATCACTGCGTCAACCTGATAAGGAAATATAAAATCAACGTTGTTTTACTGAACAATCACGATAATAAATCACAGCGCATTTAGTGCCAACCACAGCCGACGTGTTGACCATGCCCGAGTCCATACTTATGAGAGCACCATGTGAGCACCTGTGTGCGTACCCATGTAAGGTTTCTCTATAGGAGCGTCCAATAGAGAGTGTGAGGGGCCACAGATCTGTCCCCCAAAGATGTGTAGGAGATGGAAGGAGCTCCAAGTCTCAGAGATCCAGGAGCTGCCCCAGAGCGCAGGGACCCCAGGGAGACTGCGACCAGAAAAGCCCCTACCCCCCTCGAGAGGCGCAGAGGATCGCCCCAGGAGGCCACAACCAGCAGCCAGCAGAGTCCCGGGGGATATCAGCGGCAAGCCCACAGGCCCGCCCGTAGCCTCCCACCCCCAAGCCGGCCGAGCCCAGAACCCAACGACCCGGGACCCAGGGGCGACCAGCCCCGCCGGGGCCCCAACAGAGCCCAGGGACCTAGACCCCACCAGGCAGCGACCGGAATTAATCAGGCAGAAGCCAAAAATCTTAAACCCCCTGACCCTGGAGCCACAAACACTCAGGCAGACCAAGGCACCACACTCTACACCAGGTGTGACGGGGGAGGGGAAAATAAGATGTATAGAAGCAAAAGAAGTCCCAGGAGGAGGGAGGAGTCAAAGGCCCCACCTGACATATACAGTCATACACAGACACAGCCACACACTCCCTCCCTCATGCTCACACATACACATACAACCAAAGACTTACAAAAATGCACGCCGGACACCCACTCATGCTCCCCATACACACCCTATTCACTCTGGTCCCGGTACTGCTGCACATTGGGTACAACCATCACCGGTTCCCAGAGTTCGACCCTTTCTGCTGGGGTGCTGATGAGCAGGCTCCCCCACCCAACGCGGAGCAAAGCGACCCACCACCCCAGACCCCAACCAGACGGCCAGATCCCCCTCCTAGCCTCCAGCCTCAGGAAGCCAAGCAACAACAGAGGTGTGCTAAGACCCCTAGTTTCCCTCCACCTGCTCCAATACAGTGTTGGCGCTTGTTGATGAGGTGTATTCGTAGCTGTGGTGAGCGGGCAGTGCGGGCATTGTCTGGCCTTTGCCAGCTGATGCCACCACACCACCCCTCTTCCCCCCACAGCTCCCTGTGTCTAAGTGCAGTTTAAAATTGGAAGTGGGCACCGGCACTCGGGATGAGGCTGAAAGATCCCCTTGCCAAATGCCTTTGTCTGTGCTCACTCCCAAGGCCCTAAGTGTGTGTTTGCGTGGAATGTCGTTGGTAGAAGTGTATAAGGTGCAAATATAATTGGGGGGCAGGTTGCCACAGGAATGTGGAAATGGGGTCCATTTGGACGTTTAATCAACCTTGAAAAGACGTTGGGCCGACACGTCCTGTCATGGTTGAAAAATACTTCCAAAATGAAAGTTGAACCAACGTCTTTTGGATGTGAATTACACGTAATAATTATACGTGTAACTACAAATCTGAGTGGATTTTTAGGAAATGTTATGTTAATTTTTTTTTTACTGGGACCGTCCTACCACGACCATTTTTGGCCGTGGACACGACATTGCCATTGGACCAATATTTGCTGGGATGCTATGTTGAACTACATGTAACTAATTGTCAAAATACCAATTATACATATAACTGTAGGCATGTACAAATGTATCTGAATGGATTTTTAAGACATGTTCTTTTATATATTTTTTTTTTACAAATTCGGGACGTCCTACCGCGACCATTTTTGGACGTGGACACCACGTCGGCATCGGACCAATATGTTTGTTGGGGACATGACTCAACGGAATGTCCTTGTGTTTCTTGAAAGGCGCTTATAAATAAAATAAAATGCAGCAGTAAACGTGACAGCCCCATCTAATGGACAACTTTTGTTTTTGTGCATGTAGTTATCGTCCATTTAGCGTTATCGAGGTGAACTCCTCAATGCACCGTGATACTGATTTAAGGCCATATCGCCCAGCCCTATAGTTCTTGCTTTTATGCTACGACTAGATTGTGAAAATGTGTTGAACATTGACGTGAATCAAATCGCAGTTGAATCCTTTCCTAAACTCGTTCAGCCCCACTGATCAGTGTGTATACGGTAGAGGTCAGGGATGTCGGCCGTCTGATACCGGTTCTGTTCACTCACTGAATCTCCTTCATCAAAGGTGCTGAACAAGTTCGATACGAAACCATTTATTTAAATGCTGTTCCTGGTGCTACTAGTTTCTAAACTTTTCTTGTTTCTATAACATGCTAAACTAAATGTTATGTTGGTTTTACAGTTTTGGATGATTTTTTTTCTCTTTTACATCTCAGGTATGACACACGAGAGCACTTCATCTGCTGTGGCTACAGCAAGTCTGTTCTGTAACTGAGCTTTAAGTTGTAAAATGCTAAAGGCATAAATATATGAATTAGTCTGTTTATATTCTCTGTTTCCCATCGTAACGTCCCTTTTTCCAGCTGCATTACTACATTTTAGATTTTAGTTGAGCAACCAGAACTTCCTAAAATATCTTTTTGTTTTTAAATAGTGAGGCAACCGCACCAGTTTAAGAATTTATGATGTGATGAAGCAAAAGTTGTAAAGTTTATCTTTATTTCACTTAAAGGGGATCTAGACAGTTTTGGCTTGCCTTTAGCACCCTCTAGTGTCTGTTTGTAGAACGGAAAGCAAAACCTATCTACTCGCTGTGCGTTCAGCTTTTTCACACGTTACTTCTGACAGCTGAAACAACTCCCAGCCTTCTTTAGTTTCTAGAGGAGTGATTCATCACTAAATTAAACAAATCAGCTGTGTCCATGATCTAAAACATGCAGGAAATGTGCTGGAATCAGACCGCAGCGCCAGGTATGTCAGCTCAATTTTTCTGAAGCCTAGTTTGCGCTGCTGAGACAATATGGAGACACGCAACGCCATTATCCGTTCTTACGAGTGCTCTCCAGCAGGCTTGCGAGGACAGACGGAATCGAGCCAACTTTTCTAAACATCCGTCGAATGAGACGGAGAACGCCAGCTTGTGATTGGTCAGGGAGCCGCTTTCGTCAAACAGCACAGCCATTGCCCCTCAAAAGCATAGAGAAAGCTGAAGATCTCTAGCGGCAGACACGGAGCAGCTTGAAGAACGCCTCGCGTAAAAACTCTAAAAATATGAACGTTTTATTCGCCCATGACGGGAGGAGTGAAAAGATATGCAGCAAGCGTTTTATTCATGGATGTGAAACGCGGGTTAAGAGGTGGCAAGCGCATGAAGAGGTGATTGAGGGACAAGTTCGTCTGTGTTAAAAAGTATCTGAAATACAAAAAACACAATATAAACACACTAGTTGACTGCGTACATGGCAGGGTACCCCAGAACAGAGCTACGCCCTCTGCTGTCCTGGCAGGGAATTGTTTTGCAACGCTCCCCAGCAGATGGAGGAGTCCAAGAGTAAAACTTATCTGTCAAAGCGTGTGTGTCTCCCTTGTGGAGCTAACGCTGAAGCCTAAACTAGGCTTTAGTCCCAAAAGACCGCACCGGCAACTCTGAAGTTGCAAGTGGAATATTTTGGCCACAGAGGGCGATAGAGGCTGTGTGGCCTTTCATTAACCCTGTAAAGAGTCATTTTAGCACACACTGGTTTAAGAACATTATCCCTTTAAATGCAAAGGACTTCAGAGGTGATTAACCTTCTGCTCATCCTTTTCTGTGTCTCTAATTAAATGGGCTATAGGAAGTAGAGAATGTGTTTTTGGAAAGACCTCAGAGAGATTAGGTTCAGTTAAAACAGCGTCTACGCAGCTGAAAAACACCCAAAACCAACATTCATTCAGAAATGGATCTTTTAGAAGTTTTGAGTCCCGTGGTAAGGAAATGTTATAAAACAGAAGATATCAGGTAGATTAAAAATCTCTCACATGTTCACCTTTATTTAGTGCCGGTGTTCAATATTCTTGTTCTTTCTTTTGTATTTAGATTAATCAAAGTATTTAATGAGACTACCTTAGCTTGCTGAGACTTTTTTCATTCCTTTTTTTTTTAAACCAAACAAAAATATCCTTGAAAATAGGAAAATACATGCTGGACATCGGCTTGTTGGGATTCTTCCAATAGTTTGTTTAAAAAATTTGTCATCTAAATAAAAATAAACAACTTTGACTCGATGCATTTTCTTATATGGACAAGCCCCGGTATGCCAGATAGCCAGTCCATCCCAGTCTACTGTCCTGTAATGGACAATTAAGGACTGCAGGTGAAAAGGTTAATAAATATAACTTGGATCACAAAATCTTCAGTTTTACTAAAACTGGTTAAAGCAAAAATGAATACAACCCGCAACAAAAACTACATCTAGGATTTTGAATGACCATGATGCACCAAGTCTGTTGTGGCAGCCTGGGCGCTCCTAGGGGTGTGCTTAGGTGGTGGTGGGGGTTTGCCCTCCCTCCCTGGGCGCCCTGGGTTGGTGCCTTGGCTGCTGCCATGGGGTAAACCCCAACACACAGGCAGAGAGTCTTGGGTCTAACAAAAAGCCAACCCCAGCCCTCCGCCTCTTACCCGGAGCAACTCCAGCAAAGTAGAGTGTCCACCCCCTCTCAAGGACTCGGGTTCCAGAGCCAATGCTATGTGTCGAGGTGAGTCCGACTATATCTAGCCGGTACCGCTCAACCTCTGCCACAAGCTCCTGCTCCTTCCCCACCAGCGAGGTGACGTTCCTTGTCCCAAAAACCATTTTCCTTGTCCGGGGATCGGACCGCCAAGGCTCCCGTCTCGGTCTGCCACCCGATCCACACTGCACCGGACCCTTCATGTTCCTCCTGTGGGTGGTGGGTCCACAGTTGGATGAGCCCATGTATCCGGTTCGGGCTGTGCCCCATGGACGAACGCCCAGCCACCAGGCGCTCGCTCACGGGCCCCAAACTCAGGCCTGGCTCCAGGGTGGGACCCCGGTAACCCTCCAGGCCGGGTACCCCGACTCTTTGTTTTTACGTCCATGAAAGATCTTCTGAATAAGGCTGGTGATAAAACAGATTTATTTCCGGATCTAATTCAGTTTCTAGCTGACTCCTGGTCCGGCCAAATCGGTGAACAAGCATTTTGAAACCATCCTCTCTTTTGACATCAGGTCAACACCTCTCTGCAACTTGCGAGTGATTACAGACACGGCGACCCTTTTAAGAGCCGCCAAACAGCCTCCGATGCAAAACAAGCATTCTGGCTTCCCGTCATCACCTGGAGAGATCTCAGACTAAACAGGTCGTATCTGAGCTATCTACGGGTTCCTGGTACCGAGAGGTTCACTCCCCCAGCAGTGTCCATCCCGAACTTTGACCCCCTGGATTGTACGAGGATCTCCACACAAGGGTGCATTGACTCGGCATAAATTGCGTCGGATGATTTTATAAGCAAATCTCCAGCTTATCAAACTATACAGCCAAACGGATTTTACAACCCAGACTCCACAAGCTCTCTCAGAAAGGATTCGCTAAAACATCTAGCTTCCATTCCATCATTTCATCCATACCTTGTCTTGTATAATCATTAGTTTAAGGAAATAGAAATTAATTAATTTTTATAAACTATATACTTGACTCTGTCTGAATTAATATGAAGTGTGTATAAGGTCCCTGAGTAAGTAAAAGAAACTACAGCCTTCTGATTAAACAGTCAAAGATAATCAGATTGATAGTTCATATTTATATGGAATTATCACATCTTATTGATCATTTACATAATACATATGTAGCCCATCCTTAACACTACACAGTAAAATGAGCTCTACAAAAACCTGACTGTAAACTATCATAGACGGTATGCTCATCGAGAGCAGCTGTGCGTTGTTTGACTACAACCTTTTCCTAGATCTTGGAGAAGAACAGAAGTTTAAATATGGGTCTGAAGTTTTTTGGTAGAGAAGGGTCAAGACTCGGTTTTTTAAAGAAGCGGGTGGAGCAAAATCATTTGAGCAAGACTTCCATTTTCTGTAACTTGCAGAAACGAATGTGTGTACCTGCACTGAAGAATGTGTGAAGTGTAACAGTAGATTTTTTGTCTGTGAGTGAGTCTGTGAGTAAAATAGGCACAAGGTATTTTTTTCAAACAAGTATATGGATGTGTTTTGCACCATTTGTTTTCAACTGGAGCAAAACTAACTGTAGGATTTTTACATGTGTGACTCAAAGAATACAATTTTTGTACTTGCACCAAAGATTTTAAATAGTTGTAGCTGTTGTTTTGTACCTGTGAAATTTTTGATTTTTCTGGAATTTTCTCCATGACACAAATGCCATTGCACCAAACATACCTCCATAGAACCAGTAATGAAACAGATTGGTGAGGGATAAATGGCATCAGGTTTATGATGAAGTGTTTTGGAAGCAGTCGTATAAATGGTGTCATCATAATCGAAGATGGGAAGGATTGTCATTTTGACCAAGGTTTGCTCTGCAGAATGAGGAAAGGATGACCTATTGCGGTACAGAAACCCAATTCTTGACTTGACTTTAAAAAGCAATGAATTGATATGATTGTCAATTGAGAGTGTGCTGTCAAGCCAGACACCCAAATACTGATGGGAACTGACAAGTTGTAGTTCTGTACCTTCCAGGGAAACAATGCTAGCGTGGTAAGTTGATTGCTGTAAGTTATGGTTGAAGTTATGGTTGAAGATCATGAACTTTGTTTAAATGAAGACCAAGGTTGTAGAGGGCATGTTGAAGATGGTTGAAGTTGTGCTGCAAGATGGACAAAGCTGCTTTCAAAGAAGAACTGCATGAATATAGAATAGTGTCAGCATATAAATGTATATGAGAACTGTCAACAGCATGAACAATGTCCTTAATATAGATTTTAAATAAGGTTGGGCCCAGTATCGACCCTTGAGGAACGCCCATAGATAGAGGTAGAGGAGCAGCTTGGTAACCCTCTGTTCTCACTGTTTGTGTACGGCCTAAGATCTAACTTCTGAACCATGCCACGGATGCCTGAGAAAGTCGTAGATGTTTGAGCCTGCTAGGTAAGATATAGAGTCAAAGGTTTTAGTCAAGCCAACAAACACAGCCACCCAATTTTCCTTATTGTCAAAGGCACATATAATGTCATTTAGAACATTAAGTGTTGTAGAGACACATCAGTCTTTTTTTTTACATTAGGGAGTTACTATAATTTATACTTTATTTTCACACTACTATTGTCTCTTGATTTTGTTGTGATGAGTATTTAGTCTCTTTAGCGTGCCATGTTGTGCTCATTTAATGTTATCTTGTCTGTACAATGTTTTTCTACTGTGAAAATTGGACTGAGTACTTGACTTGACTGAAGCCGGACTGACAGCTGGATTCTTCTTCTTGTTTGTTTTTCTATAAATATAGCTTGTATTGTTTCTGTTTGTGATTGTTTTTTTGACTATTTATTGTCCAATTTTGTATGTATTAATTTTGTTGATAAGTGTTGGTTCTGAAAGGGTTAACGTTCAATCCATCAAGTCACGTGCGCTCATCACGTGACCTTTAGCGTCGTCACTTGCTAGCTTACTTCCGTGTTTCAAAGCTGGTTGCTCGTTCATTGACTTTAGCTGCGTTTTTCTCCGTTCATTTAGTGTGACATTTCACATAGCATATCATTGTTTAATGCTTTATCTTTTTTTCTGATACTGACGGTCAAACGGTGACACTTTCGATGCGGAAACGACTCGACGAGGTGAGCTAGCCTCTGGGAGCTAACACTGTTAGCCCAACATCTGTTTAGGTTCGAGCAGAAAGTGAGACGTTTCGCTGTGAGGCTGTCCTCTCAATGGTGAGTGAGGTGGCAGGCAGCTAAAGGCTTTTGTATTTGGTGGTGCTTTTAATAATCCCGTAGACCGATTATTAGGGGGATTTGGGGAAGGTTTCGGGTTCTGTCGGGTTTCTTTGTTAGCTCAACATACAGAGATCATGTCAGAATAGCTGGTTAATTATTGGACTATTTCACTTTTTGTTCTGAAATATAATTTTTTGTCACGTAAGACTTTTGAAAAACGTATTTTGTGGACTGCGGGTGTGCGTGCCGTTGCATCTGGAGTAAAACATTTACCAGCAGTCAGACATGGTGGTGGTAGTGTGATGGTCTGGGCTTACGTTGGTGCTTCAGAACCTGGATCATCACCTGTAACTGATGACACCACAAATTCTGTCCTCTACCAGGAATCCAGAAGCAGAATGTCTGACCTTTGACCTTAGACCGGCTACGCTGTTTTGCTAACACATTGTTGCCACAACAGTGGAAATTGTGACATTTTTCTGGTCTGTTGACACGCCATCAATAAGTGCTAATTCCAACAACATTGTGGATGATTTCACTCCCAGAATTATATTTTTTAAGTTTATTGAACATGTAATAATCAGTAAGTTGGTATCTTCTAGTGGTGGACCAATTCTGCATCACTAGTACCTGCTAGTCAGAGCTGTACAAGAATCAGAAATCAGTATCAACTCTCAGAACTCAAATTGATGCATCTCTGCTGGTAAAAACTAGTTTAAACTTCTTTGTGTTGCAGGTTCTATGACCTACAGTCGTTTAACCCAATCAGAGGATGTACCCGCCCCCCAGAAAGGACTTCATAGCTTTAACCGTCAGTGACCCACTCAGTTACCCCTACAACAACGGCAAACACCGGAAGCAGTCCTGCTGGAGGGTGAGTGGATCTGCAATGCCTGTGGAGTGTTTGTGGCTACTCAGTTCCCCTCCCACACACTCACATCAGATTACAGGTGGTCCTAGTGCATACATAATAAATAATGTTATAATCAGTGTTGAACATACAGGTTAGTGCTGTAGTCGTGCTGATTTAAGTTCAGTTCAGTTCACTTTATTTCAAACATATACATTCACCAACATTTCATAAAATCATTCCACGCAATTGTTTGAAAAGGAGTAGGGAGAAGTGTGTATACTTATTTAGCCCTACCCCCTCAGGTTTACATTAAGCATTAATTATCAGTTGTTGTTGTTTTGCTGCTTTTGTTAAGCAGCAGCACATTGATTCATTGGTACAGATTTGCTGTCCTTT